TTGCATGCAAATGACGTCAAAAGTTTCCGTATCACTCTTGAATTTGTCCGAGTCCATAACATGCCATTTATTAAATTTATGTCTTTGGTTTTATTTTTTCATAAAAATCTTTCATTTATTTAGGTAGGGCTTAATAGTATTAGGTTTAATAATACTATAAATTTTTTTGTTCAGGGTAGGGCTCATGCCTAACAAACTTATTAGTTAAATTTATATCTTTGATTTTACTTTTCACAAAAATATTTTATTTATTTATGGTAAGACCAAATGGTATTAGGTTTAATAATACTATAAATTTTTTAGGTCCAGGTTAGGATCCGTGCCTAACCCCGGGCCCAAGTAGTTCCGCCACTGCAGGATCCTTTCACAATTTCCCTCCTAGTTAATTGGAAATATTTTTCAGTTTCCCACAGAATATATTTTTAATATTTTTTTACTAAATTAATTTGGATTTTTTAAAGTCTCCTGTACTTAAGAAAAATACCGTATTGTTTTGCTTAAATTTTTTTTTTCAATTTAAACTAAAACCAATATGAAAAGACTTAAATGATCCAGTCGCCGAACCAATAAAACTGACTTTTTTTTTTTTATAGTTTGGTGATTGCTTCACTCTTTTTCTAACAGCATTATCTATTAATTGTTCATGTTAATCAGTTCAATAACTAAACCAATCGATGCCCAACACTAATTACAGCATTTGCTCGGCATACCCAATGGCATAGCGGTAAATGCTTTTGTAGAGTCAAATTAGAGGTTCTCAGGTTCTCTTCCTTTTTTAAAATAGTTAGAAAATCCCTCTCCTTGCGACAATTAATATAGTTGCTAATTGCATCTTTTTGCAACAATATTGCCAGGAGCATAGTTAGATTAGATATTTATAGCCATGTTAAATATAATTATATTTTTTTTGTTCGTATGTATATGCCTTGGAGCAAGGCCTACAATTTTTAATCATATAGATACAGTTTTTGTCCATAGTTATGCGTCAAATTTGTTGACATTCTAAGATTTGAAGGGTAGAGAATGAAAGTTCTTAGCTTTTCTAAAAAGAAAAGAAAGAAATTCATTGATGATAAAAAATACTCGGTTAGATAGATAGCATTGATGTTTAAGCGGGTTGTAATTACACCGTTTACATACAATTTCAAAAGTAAAAATTAAATTAATACACTGAAAGTAATGGGATGAGATAATGAACGCGTCAGTTGAGTTAGATTTTCATACATGACTTAATTATAGACGACTTAATTATAGACGACTTACTTCCACCATAAAACCATAGACTTGCAAACAAAAAAGACGTGTGGATGGACCTTCGTATTGATTACGATGAAGGAGACTTGTGGACTTTCATCTTTATAAATCTAAATTTCTCGATGGAAGCTAGCTTCAATGAAGTTGCTTTCTAATGTGTAAGTATATTAAATTCAATTATGTATTTGTTTTTGGTTCATCCAAATTCAATAATGTATTTCAACGGTGCGCTAAGGGTGATGGGGATATCTTATTGCTTTCGTCTTCAAGGGGATCCAAATTTCTCATTGGAAGCTTCAATGAAGTTGCCTCCTAAGTCCCTAACGTGTAGGTATACCAAATATTTCTTAATCAAAATCGAGGTAACCAATTAGTGGAGTGAGAAGGGGACACTAAATTTTCAAGTTTACTATAGCGAATGAAAGTGCACTAATTCTAGTTAGTCTATATGTACATGACATCCCCTCTAATATATAGCATCCCATCTAATATGAAAATGATAATTTAATAAATTAAAATATTTTGAATCATCTAATAAAGTGAATCATATGAGTTTGGTTAAATTAATATTTATTAATATAAACATTTTAATTTAGAATTAAGGTTAGAAATTTAATCTCTTGAAATGTACAAAAAAATATCTAACAAAGCCACCTCATCAAAATTTAACTTTAATAGAGGAAAAAAATGAAGAAAATGCTACTTGCATTGTTTGTAAGTATAATATTTTGAATAATGTAATGTGATATTTTGTAATTAATTATTTTTATTTAGAATCACAAATCATGATCATGTAAAAGTCATTCTATTTATTAGTGGATTTAATCTAATTTCCAAAATACATTGTCCTCACAATTAAGATTATATAATTCTTAACATTTAATAAGGGTTGAAATACTTCCATAAAAAAAATAAAGGTTGAAGTGCCATCTTATTCCATCAATTTTGATGCAATAAAATTATTCTAACAAATGTATTAATCACTCTAAATTATATAATAATAAGTAAGGTATCGATCCATGAGGATTATTAATTAACTAAATTTAAAAAATATTTGGATATTAATTGATACATTATCCTGATCAACACATTATACAACACATTAATTAAAAATTATTATTTTTTACTTTAAAATTAAAGGTAAATAAATTTAAAAATACAATCATGCATATAGAATATGTGAATTGATTAAAATGATTTTATTTATATTATATTTTAATAATTGAACTGAGATAATATAAAAAAAATATTAAATCAAAGAGTGTATTAATTAATTATTTTCTAAAATAATTTCTCTTAGATTTATTTGAATAATTAAAGAAAATATAATTAAAAGAAAATAACAATTACCAAGGACGCATTAGCTGACTTGAATTTCCATGGACGACTTGGTTTCACTGAGGAGCCATAGACCATTTACAAACGAAATGGATATGTTAATGGACCTTCTTATTGATTACCATAAAGGAGATACGTGGACCTTCATCTTCATGGATCTAAATTTCTCGATGGAAGCTTCAATGAAGTTGCTTCTTAATGTGTAAGTATACCAAATTCATTAATGTGTTTTAAATGTGTGCCGTGGGTGACAAGGTGATGGGGTGGGATCGAACGCATCATCTAACTCAGATTTATTAATTTCCAAGGACACGAGCTTTCATAGTTGGAGTAATGGACCTTCCTATTTCATCTTCATGGATCTAAATTTCTCTATGGAAGCCTCAAAGAAGTTGCCTCCTAACGTGTATCCCAAATATTTCTCATTCAAATCGAGGTAACCAATTAGTAACGGAGCACTAAATTTTCAAGTTTTCTAGTACACATCTATATGTGGGTGTTATCCTTTTTAATAAGACAAACACAATTTAGTAAATTAAAATATCTTATCATCTAATAAAGTTACTAATATAAGTTTTGTTAAATTGGTATCTATTAATATAAAAATTTTAATTTAGAATTAAGGTAAGGAGTTTAAACTTTTGAAATGTATTAAAAAAATATCTAACAATACTATCTCATTAGAATTTAACTTTAATGAAAAAAGTAAACAATTTTAAAGATATAATTATACATGTAAAATATAGAAATCGATTAAATAAATTATATTTATATTTTATTTTAATAATTAAACCACGTGAATATTAAAAGGTGTATTGAAGCACATGGTATACAAATAATTTTCCTTCCAAAATGCATTGCCCTCACAATTAAGATATAATTCTTAACATTTGATAAAGGCTAAATTCCTTCTTATTCCATCAACTTTTTACTCTTATATTAAAACCTTATCCTCTTCTTTACCCTCTTGATTTCTCTCTAATTTCCTTCAATTTCCCAACAACAAAACAGTCCAGCAAAAATCCACAGCTAGATTGTTCAACTAGTTCAGTGACAGCCTCGGCACATGAAATTAAAATATAAAGTTAAATGGTACTTTGCTTGCCGTTTCAATTTGGTTCCACTTTCAAGCTTACAATTAATCTTTTTAGAGGTTTAACTAAAAAAATTAAGGAAACACTAATCCTTCGACTGTAGAATTTGAGAATCCAAAATTTCTCTCGAGAACCCAAATTTGGTTCCCCTTGAGAACCTTGTCAATCCACCCTTCATTCTGTTATCCTATCTTCCTTAGCACCATGCTTGCATAAATATGGTCTACTAAGACTCATGAAAATAGAAAAATTCCATCCGAAGCACTCATATAGTCTAATCTTGAATGGGAATTTTCTCACTTCCTTGGTCTAAGTGGACTATATGTATGCTAGCATAGAGTTGATCGATCAGAATAGGGTAATTGGAATAGAGATGGCTACATGATTCATGTGTCGAGATATCATTTATGTTAGACCAATTATAGCAATAATATGAAATTTATTGACTAAAATACATAAAGTGTATGTTAAGAGATTAATGGCCTTGAAAACAAATGGTTAAAGTGCTTCTAGGGAGGTTATGCTATTTAGAAAATTGCCTTTTTGATTTTTATTTTATGC